TATATATAGTAAAACATCATTCAGCCATCAAGAGAAATGAAGTATTGATATATGTTATGACCTTGAAAGCATCCGGAATGAAATAAATTAGACAGACCAAAAACTTACCCCACTACTGTTAATATGATTCCAATTCAGAGCAACTAACTGTACAGGCCACAGAACTGTCCTATAGGGTTTCAATAGCTGTACACCTTTATTTAAGTAGACTGGCACATATTTTTCCTCTACAGAACTGCTGGTGGGTTTAAACTTCTGACCTTTTGGTTAGCAACTGAGTGCTTGAATTACTGCACCACCAGGACCCTCAGTCAGATATAAAAGGACAAATAATGCATGATTGCACTTATATGACATATCTAGAATAGGGAAATGCATATAGATCAAAGCTAAGGGCAGGTAGGTGGGAAAGTGGCAAAGTAATATTTAAAGTACACTGACACTCCGTTATGGGTGATGATAAAAAAAACTGGGAACACTATGTGAACTAGGCTCTACCTTAAACACAGTTGTCACCCGAGGACTTAAAACTGAAACTTCAGTGTGTGAAAATGATGACAGCTATACCAAGAGTACTGAACTGTCCATAGGACTAATATTTACTTACTACTTCAATATCCTACTTGCTGTATTAAGATATGTACTATCTTGACAGACCTGTGTCTGACATTGTCAGTGAAGATTAAGTTTTCCTGACCACCGATTTCCACTCTTTGTGTCAATAGTGTCTAGTCACACAGGGAATAGTATCAGAGGTTAAATTGTGACATTCTGGTGAGCAGAAGGCTAGGGATGACAGTGGAAGCCCAAAATATATCTGCAGCATCTACGCAGGGAATAAGCCTCCAGTGATTTCCTCTGAACCATAATTGAGGGATGGGAATAAGCTGGTGATCAGACAGAGTAGTGGAGAGACAACTATAGTAGATAAGTTGATAAAGCTGACTTGAAAGGTTAGAACCTTCTCATCTGAAAAACTGTGTGAACTAGTTTTACTATATATATTTTTTATATATTAGGGTTTATCTCTGTGGTATTTTGTCACTGTCGGTAGCTTTCTTGATTCTTTTATATTTTCTTATGTTTGCTGTATTAAGATATGTACTATCCTTAAGATATGTGAAACCCAGGATGGATGAGTCTATAGAAACACTAAATAGAATAAGGGTTCCTGGGGGGTACGACAGGGGAGATGGCGGCTAATCGGGAGCTGATATCAAGGAATATAAGAAGGAAGAAAATATTCTGAAACAGAGTGATAGTGACTGGATAACACTGCTTGATATAATTGAACTTTGAAATGATGTCTGGATTAGGTCCTAATAAAAAGGTCAAAAGAATAAAACACACTGGAAAGAAAATGGTGACCACAATTAATATCACTGAATTATACAAGTAAAAATGTCTGAAAGGGAAAAAATGTTTTGTGTTAAGCAAGTCTTTTAACACTATAAAAATGCAAAGATATTTCAAAATAGAAATTAAACTCATTTACTTTAGAATGTTTTATTTTTCATTAATTTTGGGAAGGGGCATGCAATCCTTCCAGTTTCATGGTTTCTAAGGATTCTGTGTGGTCTCGTACAGGAGGTGTTCCATGGAGAAGTGGGAGTGACAACATGAGTTACTGTACTGACAACCCAGTGCTACCAATGTCTAAGAACTGTTTTGGCAAAAGAAGTTAGGACTTTCAAGACAAAAGCACAAGTACTTGTGTAATGGAGCACTGAGTTTGTGTCTCGAGATCATTAGGATGAGGCTTCTACTTCTTGCAACAGTTAGTCTCGGGGAAACCCCAAGAGCAGAGTTGGGATAGACTCAAAGGCAGTGAGTTGAGTTTTGAGAAGAAAAAAAGTCTGCTAATTAATTAAAAGCACACCATGGATTGTAAAATGTATTCCGCTGAGAGATATGAACATTTTTCAATGTCTCAGAATCGGTGAAGTACAGTAATAAAAACAATTTAAAAAAACATTTCAATAGCATTTCTATAAATGTTGTGTGTCAATCAACAAACATCGCTATGGTTTCTGAAGGTCTTCATCTGATTCCCTTTGCGTTTTCTCTGATGTAAATCTATTAAGGTGTCCATGAAAAAAATATGGAAATGACACTCACCTCCCTCCTCAGGTTGTCACTTCCACTCCTGGACCAGACCACACAGAATCCTCAATAATGTTTATTATCAATTTTAATAATAGACTATGTAATAAATATGGTTATTAATTGCTTAAATGTAGCATTTCTTACATTGTATGAATACTAACAAAATTTTGTAAACTCTTTCTATATTGAATTACATTACTAGTAACAGGCTATTACAATTTTTCTCCTTGTCCTTTATTAGTACATTCTCAAAAGTGACTGATAAAGGTTCACAATCACTGATTACCACAATATTGTTGCTAAAACATCAGCATATTTGACAGAATCAGCAACCAGAAAAGCGCTACAAAAAGTGGCAACGAAAACAATGTGTCTTTGGTAGTGATTGTACAACACTGCTTGAGTGATTGGCATATGGAATGTTAAAAGTATTAACTCTCAGTTAATAATAAATTTAAAGAAAAAGAAAAACAATGTCGAATGTCTCCTTGTAGCACATGTAGACAAAACTACAAGATTAGAAGTGTCGTGGTAATAACAGCTCTGACATGAGCACCTAGGTCAAAGCAGAACTGCTCCTTCAGGGTCTCTGAGGCTGTAAATTTTCACAGAAGCACACGACCTCATCTTACCACGCTGACCACAAAAGAAAGTTCAAAAAAACAAACTGGCAATTTTAATCTTTTTGTGTGTGTGTGTTTTTTTGCAATTTTAGTCTTGTAGGTGTATCGATACATGGAAAGTGGGCTTCCAAAAATGTTTGTTATTTATAACTAACTACACGGATATTTATATAAAACAATAAATCCTGTTGCCACACTGCATAAACATTTTAGACATTTGGGGTCACTCCCACTGACCCCATTATGCAGTGCGGCCCATCGTCGTGATGTCACTGCTCAGACATCATTCCTCTCATTAGCTCTTTCTGAGCACTCCCTTCCCACCAATAAACTGTTCTCTGTTGCGTCGCTGCCGCATTCTGTCCATCCCTCTATCCAAGCCCTAATTCCACATTCAGAGCAGTGTCTCTCCTGCGCTAGGACGCGCGCTGCTTGAGTGCGGCAGGCCACGGCTGCTTCACCCTTGCGGCCCCGCTCCAGGCTGTTTGCGGCAGTCAACCTTTCTCCTCCTTTACGGCGAACCCAGCCTAGAAGGCTGGCTCAGACCGAAGTCCAGGCAAGCGCACACCTTCGGGACTGTGGCCAAGCAGGAGCCTCGAAGCCGCGCGCCAGAGAAGCAGTCGTCGCCACCTCGCCTTCTGATGCTCCGTCCGCAGCTCACGTTTCAAAGCTCGCGAGATCTCCCTCTCCCACAGCCGCTCCACTGGCAACACAGGACTTCCCCGCCAGTACTTCCGGCGTTGTGAACCGGAAGCGGAAGTGCAATGTCCAAGCCTCTGTCAGAGTCGGTGTTACTCTGGGGTCACGGCGTCTCGGGAAGTCGTTTGACTTCGCTCTTCCTGCCTCCAGGGCGCTTCCACCGTCGCGGGTGGGAGTGCAGGACGGAGGTGCGAGATGAGCACCATGTTCGCCGACACACTCCTCATCGTCTTCATTTCCGTGTGCACGGCTCTGCTCGCGGAGGGTGAGAACGGCTGGTTCCCGCCGGTGGAGCAGTCCCGGAGTGGGGCTAGGGCAAGGGTGGGGACGGTTTCCTAGACGTGGGGACGAACCCTCATGTCGCTTGATTTCTTCTCTTGTGGGAAAATCGTACACAATGGCAGGGGATATCTGGGCACCTTCTAAGCAGAAGCTGGTGGGGATGTGTGAAATTGCCCAATTTTCTTTGGTTTAGGGTACGTTTCACTTGCGTGTATGTGCACACATTTTCACATTCCGATACGGTTGTTTTGGTTTGTAAAGTCTGTACATTTGCACAAAGGTGACAAAGGAAAAGTATAAAGCAAAAGTTGACGTCCCTCTTTCCCTAACACTAAACCACGATTAACAATAGTTTGTTGTGACACTCCGAATATTTTTCTAGGAGCATGTTGCCTTTTCTTTTGCAGGCATAACTTGGGTCCTGGTTTACAGGACCGACAAATACAAGAGATTGAAGGCAGAAGTGGAAAAACAGAGTAAAAAATGTGAGTATGGACGCATCTTTTAAAAGCAAGTTAATTGAGAGAGTGTGTTCACCCTCAGTATTTCAGGAACACCAACTTTAATACAAAACTTGACAGGAATACAAAGAGAAATCTCATTTGAATTATTGACTTGTATGGAATAGAGAATCATTCAAACGAGAAAGGAGTCATGAACGTAGGAGGGAAATAATCATGTGCTGTCTAGGGTCTGAACAAGAGATCTCATTCACTTGTCAGGAGACCCTGGAAGTTTTCATGATTCAGGTGGTTTTTCAGCCCTTCCTATATTATTTAGAATTTGGATTGGGAATGAAGTAGGAGAAGAAAACTCCAGGCAAAGAAAATAGCATGTGAGAAAAAAATGTCAATTTTAACATGTAAAGTGTGTTTGGAGAATGATATGTCAATAGAAGTGGTGCCTGCAGGGAAAATCTAAGTTTAGTTGGATTGAGGAGATTGAAGGCGAAGAAATGGTTAAAAAGACAGTTGTTTTTTTTCTTTGAAATAAAATATGGACTCCATAGGATACAGCCAAGGGTGCTGATACAAGGGCAATTAAAGGTGAAATGAAACTTACTCTAGTTAATTCCAATTTATAGCAACCCTAAATAGGGTTTCTGAAGCTCTAAATCTTTATGAGAGAAGATACCTTTTTCTTTCTTTTGTAGAGTAGCTGTTGGGTTTGAACCAGTGCCCTTGCAACTAGTAGTCCAAAGCTCACCTCCCAGCACCACTAGGGATGTAGGGTGATCAATAGTTCTTAGTAATCGTAGTTATTTGGTTCACTTTTCTTCCTTATAAGGATTTTTTTTTTCTTAAATCATTTTATTAGGGGCTCATAAAACTTACCACAATCCATAAACACATCAGTTGTGTAAAGCGCATTTGTACATTCATTGCCCTCGGATTAAATTTTTTTTAAGGATTAAATTTTTATAGAAAATTCTTTGGCATTCTGTGTGACTTTTTTTTTTATGTCTTCGTTAGAATTTGAAGTTCTTTTTTGTTCCTTCAAATTTTATCTGGGCTTATGACATCAAGAATTCCTGGTGAAACACACAGAGTATCATTAAGATATAGGATAACATAGAGTATTTATTTAAAAACTCACATTTTTCATTGTTTTCAGTGTTCCACATCCCAGTGTGAACTGATTTATCTTTGGGGCTTTTCAAGTGACAGTATTTGACGGGTCTAGAATAGGGGCTCTTAAACTGTGATCTTCATACAGTGACACCGAAGCATCTAGGAACCGTTTAGAAGTTTCATCAGAAACTGGTGGAGATCCACAAGTGTGGGTTTTATGAAGATCTGTAGATGATTCTGATGCTGAAACTTGAGAACCACCAACCTAGAGACTGAACAGGCAGGTTCTCCTGCTGTTTAGTGATCTGCTGTCTTGTTAACTTACTCTAATTCCAACAATCCTTTGACCAAGCCACTTTTTTCTATCTATTAATTCCTCTGCTAAGTAAAAATTAATATACACATGGAAGAGTGCGTACACATGCTTGCATAGTTATTTTCACTTTATCTCACTGTCATGTTTTTCCTTACCTCTTTATCCAGCTAAAACTTCACGGCCAATCTTTTGCCATTCTATCAACTCCTTGCCACTTTATTTTTTAAAACATTTGCTCATTTAAAAAAAAAAAGTACTCAAAAAAAAAGTACTCTATTGCTCATTTCCAGATATGTACAATATAGCAGAAATAATCCCACCCATTCTATAAAGCTGAATTAATATAAAAATGCTTTTGTTGCGATGTAACAATGATGAGAAATACAACCTTCCTCTAGTTCCTAAAGGTTTCCTCC